AAAAAGGAATTTAATATTCTAATAATGAAAGCTAATTAAAACATTATTAGTATGTAAATAAGACAAAACAGAATATTAATATTAATAATTTAGTAATAGAAGAATTAAAATAAATAGATAAGAAGCCCCCCTCCAATTTTTTAATAAACGGAAAAAATTATTAAGATTCATAAAAGGTAAAATAAAATTAAAATTTAGATTAAAATTAAAGATTATATAGATTATTTATAGATTATATTACAAAAGATTAGATAGAATAATATATATTAAAAATTTATTATAGATTAAATCATAAAGGATTATACAGATTAAATATAGATTAAATTATAAATAATTCATTTCATTTTTAATGAAATAATCCAAAGTTTGCATTAATAAAAATATTTTAAGGGAAATAACTTTCTTCGCAAATTACAACACGGTTTCGAACCAAGATGGCGCAGCTTAGGCAAAATAAATAAATTTATTGAAACAAAACAAGTTCAGTTGACCACTGATGACAATTCCAGAACAATGTAATAAATTAAAATTAGATAAAGATTTAAACAGGCCTAAAAATTAGATAAAAATCTAAACAGGCCTAAAAATTAGATAAAAATCTAAACAGGACTTAAAATTAGATAAAAATCTAAACAGGCCTTAAAATTAGATAAAGATTTAAACAGACCTTAAAATTAGATAAAAACGGATTTTACAGAGGAAAACATCAATAACAAATAACTTAGGACAAACTAAAATGGACAAGAAAAATAAACAAAATAAAAAACAAAACAAAAAGAGAACAGTTCGACATGAAACAGGTAAGTAAAAAAAATTAAATATCCAATATTCTTGAATAACATAAGATTTAAAAAAAAAGAAGAAAAAATATAGTGAAAAAAAAAAAAATTAATATTAAAAAATATTCTTATAGGATATGAAATATAGAAAAATAACTCTTTAAAAAACACTTTTTAATTCAATTAAAAAAAGGTGGAATATAATAAAATAACTTTTTAAAGAAACTTTTTCAAGTGTGGGGGGAAATAATAATATAAAATCTATATTATTAAATAAATCAAACAAGTATCGTATCGATTATACATAAGTAAATCATATAACTTAGAAATAGAATAAACAGAAAAGGAAAGTTTTCAATTAAAGAAAACTCCACATATAAAGGAAATTTGACGAGTAACAGTTAGCAATTAAGAAAAGGAAAATTAAAGGTAAATAAGACTTAACATAAACCAAAGCATCGCATATAAAGGAACCAATAGGAAGAGAGTTAAATAAAAGGAGTAATCAGAAAAAAAAGAATTACACTTATAGAAGATAATTGAAGGTGGAAAGTGTGAGGTTAAAAATATATTATAGCAGTTGGAATTTACATCTATGACAACACTTGGAAACCAATTCATTCCTTTGATTTAGTAAAAATTTAATAATTCTAATTTACTCCTCGAAACACAAATTACATTTACACTTAAAGTTACTAGGAGTCTGAGCAAAACCCGTCAATTATCCTAATCGTTATTTTTACTGGATATCCAAGTTTGAGTAGTCATTTACATATCATTACAAACCATTATATATTTTACTATTTGCATACAGAGAGATGATAATGATCATGATACAAGCACAGTTCTCTTTGGGTCGTGTCACTGGTTTCTAACTAACGTGTGAGTGTGAGTTCAATACTCGGTTAAAAATGTATTGCTGGTAATAATTTTTTTCAAAAAGTACTGCTGGTAATAGTTAAATATTTGCCCATAGCGGGGACCCTAACAGGTGCTACCACCCCGGGTCAGGGTGGACCTGGGAACATCAGCAATTAAGAGGGGGTTCCACGCTCTTCAAAACCTCCTGATCAGAGGCCTTGCTGTCGGATGTAGTTTATCGTCTTACCCAGAACGCGGACGTAGTTTATCGTCTTACCTAGGACGGACTACGAAGGGGTGTCTCTTCTCAGAAACTGTACCTGTTTTTATGGAGCCTAAAACTCTAACGGTTGACTAGCAAAGGAATAATTTCCATGGCTAACACTGCTCAGATCAGCGTCTCGACTATATCATGTAGAAGCTGGTAGACACTTTCTTCCTAACCAGACATTTCTGTGTTCGCAGCTCTGTTCTGGCAGGGCAGCTATGGGCTGTTTTTTCTGCAGAGACGCCGCACTAAACGTTGTCCCTTTGAGTGACGGGTCGGGTACCGTTATCAGCAGCGATTGGATGCTCCATCTACACTTTGATTCCGCTATACTTTCTCCTAGACTGGTTGCCAAACAAGACTGAAGAGACAAATGTGTCTAACTATTTAACCAATAGTTGGAAGCAGAATAGATGGTTTTATACCTTTCGCAAGGGTATTTGTACCAAAGTCAGTGCAATAAAATCGACTGGAACTAGAAATTTGCTCGTCGATTTGTACTGAGCCGCTAAACTTTATACTATCGTAAGATTAGTAGCTCTTTAATTGCACAATAATATCTAATACCATCAAATCTCTTATTGCAAATATTTAGACCAAAAACCCGATAATATGGCGTGACCAGTCTTGTATGCTCAAATAAATTATTTAATTTAATTTATTTAAATAAAACATATATTTATTTAATAAATAAATAAATAATTTATTTATTATCAAATAAATAAGTCTATAAATGTTTGTAACATCTGTCGGCCTCGGGAAACCACTGATCTGCAACCTCCAAAAATATGTTATGACTCTAGCAGCCCCCAAGGGAGTGACAGATACAATTGCAACGAATGCATGAGAAGAACCTCTCCCCCGATATAGGCGTGTGGTTTCTTTCCATAGGGCACGCTTACTACTCTCCACGTCTTCAGCGTGAGCGATCGCTGGCAACGCCTTCTCCCCTCACAACGTTCATGTCCAACGCACTTTTGCAGGCGTCTTAGAAGCGAAGATAAAGTCACCCTCGTGCACTCCGTCCGGTGACCAGTTGCACGTACAGAAGGCACTTTGTAATCAATGGTGACATCTTCCCACTTCTAGATGTCTATGTCTATCGTCTTATTACAGACGTCCTTGAAGCGAAAATGAGGCCACCCTCGTGCCCTCTTGCAGTTGGCCAGTTGCCTGTACTGAAGGACCTTCGTAATTGATGGTGACGTCCTTCTACTTCTCGATGTCTATGTCCATCGTCCTATTGCAGACGTCCTGGAAGCGAAGATGAGGCCACCCTCGTGCCCTTTTGCAGTTGGCCAGTTGCCCGTACAGAAGGACCTTCGTAATTGATGGTGACGTCCTTCTACTTCTCGATGTCTATGTCCATCGTCCTATTGCAGATGTCCTTGAAGCAAAGATCAGGTTAACTCCGTGTCCTCTTACCTGCAATGTTGGTGAAGGGCGTATAGGGTGGGTAACTGGACACGGATGAGAAATGCGGTTTTTGTCATCCTGTCGGAGAAATTGAAAATCAATAAATTTATAGTCTCATAAAAATGTAAGTTAGAATTTGGTGAGAAAATTTGTTTAGCACGACTAAATATCTTGGCAACAGAGCGCGTAATTTGTAATGTTTCTACTTCATATCACCGGCAAAATGTTAGACGGAGAATGCACAAGAAATTGTAATGCTCATCATCATCACACACACATATACATCCTACTCAAATTTAAATTTCAATAACAATCATTCATTGGATAGAAATCAACGCTTGTATCTTATGCGACAATTTTATAATCGCTATATTTTCATGTAGTCTATTTTGTGCACTTTTGGGAGAAACGGATCCCAAGAGCCTTCTTAGCTTAGTAAATATTTTCAGGAAATATCAGCTTCTAATTGGTCAATAAACACACAAGTGGGCGTTGCAATCCATCCACGCACAATATATTTTCCAGAGCGGGACTAAGTCTTGTTTCCCGCCAAGGCGCTATGAGCCTGTCACGTGATTACATTATCTATAAAAAAAACAAAGACAAGTTTGCCTCTTTCTCTCTTTCTTCTCTATTCTTGCTGCAAAATGTAGTCCCAGAGAATTATCGTCTTGTCCTTGCAGTCAGACTTTAAAGAACGTTACCAACATGCACGTACGTACGAACATTCACCAAAATACGAACTCTTACGAACGTTCACCAAAATACGAACGTTCACACACACACACACACACACACACACACACACACACACACACACACACACACACACACACACACACACACGTTCACACACAAACACAATGTTAACTGTCTATGTGTTTTGTAAATGTTTTGTTTAATGTATATATTTGTTTATTTATATATATATATATATATATATCGGTCTTGTTTGTTTGTCTTCCTTATCTTCAGTTGGATTTAATCCAAGTGCAACATTCTATTGTAGTTGGATGTTCTGGCAGGAAATACAAACGCACGAGTTTTCTTTACATCTTCACCCCCACCCCCCGGTCCCTTACAAAGTTGCTTACTTGGAGATTAGCATCAGTCATGATAATGGGATGCAAAATAATTAATATAAAACAATTTTCTGCTCGCTGTTTTTATCGAAATTTCCGTGGACAAATTCAGTAATGACTATTAAATCATCGGCAAATGAACTTCTTTCATATTTATGAGTCCCCTCATGACGTAGGCGATCATGTCTCTCCACAACGTCCTGTCCCGATTAGCTCTTAATAAAGTTTATCTTTCTGTTATTTCTCCTAAACCCTGTTCCGCCATCCATTTACCCAAGGTCATTAAGTATGTTAGGCGTTGTTTCCTCTGTTTCTCTTAATTGCTATCTGTCCTGTGAGCATCAGAGTTTCCAAGCCATCCGTCCTCATTACGTGCGACAGAAACCTCAGTTGTCTCCTTCTGATGTTAAATATTAGTTTCCTTTTTGTTTTCATCTTCTCCAAAACTTCTTTGTTACTCATATGTCCGGTCCACGGTATCCTCATCATCTTTCTGTAGAACGAACATTTCAGTTACTTCAAGTACCTATTCATCTTTGGTTAAGCACTCACTGCCATACTGGACAATTATCACATAGCAGTTCAGTACTCTACTCTTTGACAAATCGTGAAAAGAGAGACAAACAGACAGACAGACACACAGATAGATAGAAGGATAGATAGATATGGACAAACTGAGATAGATAGATAGATAGATAGATAGATAGATATGAACAGCCTAAGGTAGATAAATAGATAGATAAATATGAACAGTCTAAGATAGATAGATAGATAGATAGAAAGAAAGAAAGAAAGAAAGAAAGAAAGAAAAAGACTGGGATAGATAGATAGATAGATAGATAGATAGATAGATAGATATGAACAGTCTGAGATAGATAGATTCATAGATATGAACAGTCTGAGATAGATAGATATGAATAGCCTAAGATAGATAAATAGATAGATAGATAGATAGATAGATAGATATGAACAGTCTAAGATTGATAGATAGATAGATATGAACATAGATAGATACATATATAGATCGATAGATATTTAGAGAATGTAATAGACCGACAGTTACTTTCGAAGTGGGGGGGTGGCTGAATTTTTTCTGTTTGATGGTCGCCACATCTTTTGATATCTAGTCAAAAGCGTACCAGTCTGATTACATCACGGGTATATTTGAATGTTTCTTAACCCAAAATGAGTTATCACATAGCAGTTCAGCACTTTTTCCTTGTTTATAGCAACATTTTCCTAATTTTAGTAATCTGCTTAGATTTTGGAATGTTTCCTTGGCTATTCCAGAGAAGCGAAAGTCATATGGTTTATCTGAAAGAAGTTCACGTGATGTATAACCGATTCAAAGTTAATTAGTACTTTTACTATCCTCTACTCACTAATGGCATCCAAATTTTCCAGGAACCGGTTCTATAAATATGGGTAATCTTTAGAATTCTATTCTGCTTATTTTTTCAGTCTTAGAATTATAAAAAAAATCATCTTATATATAAAAAAGAATTTTGATAATTTCATAGAAAACATTTATTTATTAAGATATTTCCAGATTGTAATTCTTTTCTCTTCATATTTTTCTTTAGAAGTCTGATGCTTTTTGACTCGAGTGTCATCAGTTGTGTTATGTTTTCTTAGCCACATTCAAAATGAAATTGCTCCAGTCCCAAAGATCCAATGGAAGCCGAATCAAAATTATGATTACAATATTTGCCACATTTTAACTTCAAAACAGTAGGGGGCATGTGTTTATTAGAATTTCACTAACTGCGTGCATGAGTGTAATGTAACTAACATTTCCAGATCATTGGCTATTAATATATAAGATTATAATCTAACAACTGATTTGCTAAGCCTTTATAATGGCATCGGAACCGGTTCTATAAAGCCAGGTAATCTTTAGGAACCTATTCTGCTTATTTTCTTTCCAATCTGAGAATGGAAAAAATCCCTTTATTGTATCAAAAAGAACTAAACTATTTTGATAATTTAATAGAAAACATTTATTTCTTAAGATATTTCCAGATTGAAATTCTTTTCTCATCATATTTCTCTTCAGAATTCTGATGCTTTTTGACTCGAGTGTCATTAGTTGTGTTATATTTTATTAGCCACATTCGAATTGAATCGCTCCAGTCCCAAAGATACAATGGAAGATGTATCAAATTTATGACAAGAAGATTTGCCCCATTTTTAACTTTAAGGTAATTTCTTTTGTTAGAATGAATTATGTTCATTACAGGAAACGCCCTCTTTTAGCCTCTGCAGAACTTAAACTGTTATTGATTATATTCTTAGCTGTTATATATCAGCTATTAATATATAAGGTTATTTTCAGATAATCAAACAACTGGTTCACTAAGCTTTTATAATTTTGAGAATCAGTTTGCACAAACTGATAGGATGCCACCACTGGACACATGTAATATTTATATATATTTTTATGGTGAATTTATACTATTTTCTAACTATTAAAAACAAAACTAAAACTTCAAACTGACATCAAAAATAGTTTAAAAGTTCCTTTAAATCATTTTTGACAATTAACTTTATACAGTTTGGTTGAAATCTGATTTAATGGAATAACCTATCACCCCCCATGAGTGAATACAGTATAGGTAGTAACTAGCTATAAGTATCTGTAAATCAATGGACTACAGAGTCTAGCTGCAACCTGTTCCAGCTAGACAGTCGAACTCTCTGCCTCTGAGCAGAGAGGAACCCGGACGAGGCTCCGCCGAAGGGCAGAGTCTCGTTCGGGGAGGTAGACTGCACCTGAACCCGTTCATACGGGTTCGAAAGGGAATATTTTTGGCCGAGCCTACGGTCTCGGAGAACCCACGTTAAACCGGCCTTGTGCCACATGCAACCTTCGTGGGGGGTAGCTAAATATACTTTGTTGAGTACGATTCAGACTTACACAAGAACTACTGACCTTCCTATAGTAGCATTCAATTTTGTCAATAAATTATGTTCATCACAGAAAAAACCTCTTTGAGGTCCCGCAGATATTACAGCAATGGTATTAAGGAGTGGTTTTGGCGAACAAATAGACTATGGTGGGATTTGAACCCAGTCCTCATAGACAGAAAACGGACACGCGACCATGAAGTTATCATATAGATGAATGTGAATCATAGTTTCTTGGCAATATGGCTTCTGAGTATAAGTATTAGATAGGCAATCATTTTCATTTGATGGCAGAATAGAATGTAGAGATTGGAGAAAATAATATTTTTTTTTATTTCGAATGTTCGCATTCATCATGTTTACATTTAAGAATAAAGCAATTCTTTTATTAAAAGAGTCCAAGTAATTTCGTAAGTAGCTGGAATTTGGCTTAAAGGATTCAACATTATATATATATATATATATATATATATATATATATATATATATATATAGAGAGAGAGAGAGAGAGAGAGTGGGAGGGAGAGAGATGTATAGATTTTGTAGTGGAAAAATATAAATTGCTTTTTGGATTGTTCCGATTTTGCAAATATTCGGCAAAGAATATTTCTTTGGATCCCGCTAGTTCATCTAATTAATTTTATGTTTGTCAGTGAATAGATAACTTTTGCAGAAGTTTTCCTTTTTAACGCTGTGCATAAAAGACATTAATGGTGCCATTGCCATGATGTGAGAAACGAAGAATTTGAATTTAATTAGAATCTTCGACTAGAAAAATGCAACAAATCTGAGAGACGCTTTATAAAACGAACCATTTGAAGAAGTTTGGTAAACTTTCGGAGATTTTGGCAACAATAAATACTGAAGAAGACGTTAATAATAATAGTAATGATATATATATATATATATATATATATATATATATATATATATATATATATATATATTCATTCACACACACACAAAAACACACACACACAAACATATATATATATATATATATATATATATATATGACTCTTCTGCTAATTTGTTAGATCTACTACGACTTTTAAAACTTGATAACTATCACTCTAATTAGAATATTGGTAACGTTTCTAAGATTTTGTCAACAATAAATACTGAACAAGCCGTTTGTAAAAATAATAATAATAATATATACGCACAATAGTATTAATATTAATATATATACACACACAAACTTATATATATATATATATATATATATATATTATATATATATATATTTAAGCAAATGCTCTGTTTATGATAAACAGTATTAAATAACATTTACATTTATCATAAACAGAGCATTTGCTTAAATACTTGTATCTATAAAATAACAACGTTAAACATAAAATATGTCTTTAATAAATATATATATATATATATAATAAAAAGGCTTAAACACTCATATTCCATGGTCATAATTTATTCCATTGGAATCGTAAATACGATCCAATTCATCAGACCTACAAATTCAAAAAGAAAACAGTAAAAACAACCCCGGAAATAAAAATAGAATTTAGAGAAAGTGTAAGTATGAGAGTGTGGGACGAATATATGGTTATAAAGATCAACTACTGATAAACAAAATCATACTCGAAAATTCCAGGAAAATGTGTAGAAATCTTATCACTTTTAAAAGCTGAAACCAAAAGTTTTATTCTTGCTGCATAAGACCAATCCTTGCTAACTAGAAATTACCAAGAACACATACTGTCGGATTGTGTTAGACCAAAATGCCGATTCTGTATCCAGAAACAATTGACCATTTTGAATCAGGTTGCACGTTATTCGCGCCCCTGAATATAAAAAAAAAACAGCATGACAGAGTGGGCCAATATCTGCACTGAAAAATCTGCAACATTTACGGAAAGAAAACTGAAAAAAAAATTGGTGTGAACACTACCCAGACCCAGTTACAGAGATAGGTTCTGCAACAATTTCATGGAACTTTAAAATAAACACAGAAAAATCAAAGTTAATTGTCCAGATATCGTGATTAGAAACCGTAAAAACGAAACGGACCTCTTTATTGATATGGTTGCAGTCCCTGCAGACTGCAATGTATTTTTAAGGATCTTCAAAAAGCTATCAAAATACAAGGAACTTGAAATCGAAATCTCAAAAATGTAGCACATGAAGACATTAACAATTCCAGTTGTAGTTGGAGCCCTCGGATTGATTGGAAAAGATCCCAGTAGACTAATTAAAGGAATCATCGGTAGCCCATACCTTAAAGAAATACAAAAAAATGTACTCACAATTACAGCCCACACATTACGAAAGGCTTTCTTTATGTAAAATATTTTTTTTCGTGATTTTTTTAAAAAACTGCTCAGTGGAAAATGTCATGACGCCATCTCTGACCTTAGGTCTCGGGTTGGGACCCGGAAAGAAATGAGTATACACCAAAAATCAAAAGAAATAAAATAATAATAATAATAATAATAATAATTGTAATGTCTCTTAAAGATCTACAGATTGTGATGTATCTTTGAAGATCTTCAAAATACAAGGATCTTGAAACTGAAATCTCAAACATGTGGCATATGAGTTAATCAATAATTCCAGTTGTAGTTGGAGCACTCGGAGTGATTAGAAAATTTTCGATAGACGCATTGAAAGGATGCCTGGAAACCCATGCCTTAAAGGAATACAAAATTATACTCAAAAGCATAAAATTATACGTTAGGCTATTATTGCTATAAATAATAATAATAATGATAATAATAATAACACTGGAAAATTTGCAACTACTACGGGAAGGAAACTGAAGGAAAATGGTATGAACACCACCCAGACCCGGTTACGGAGATAGGACCTGTTACAATTCTATGGGACTACACAATACACACTGACAGAACAATCAAAGCCAACCGCCCAGATATTGTTATTAAAGACCATAAACAAAAAGAAGTGCCTCCTTATTGATATGGCAGTCCCTGCTGACTGCAATGTATCTTTGAAGATATTCAAAAAGCTGTCAAAATACAAGGACCTTGAAATAGAAATCTCGAAAATGTGGCACATGGAAACATCAACAATCCCTGTTGTAGTTGGAGCCCTAGGACTGGTTGGAAAAGATTCCAGTAGACTAATTGAAGGGATTCCTGGAAGTCCATCCCCTAAAGAAATAAAAAAAAATTGTTCGCACGAGTACAGTCGACACCTTACGAAGGGCTTTATCTATGTAAAATCTTTTTTGTTTTTTAATTGCTCAATGGAAAATGTCATGATGCCATTTCTAACCTTAGGTCTCTGGGCGGGACCTGGAAAGAAATGTGTACACACCAGTAATCAAAGAAAATAATAATAATAATAATAATAATAATAATAATAATAATTATTATTATTGTACGTCCCTGCAGATTGTAATGTATGTTTGAAGATCTTCCAAAATCTATCAAAATACAAGGATGTAAAACAAACTGAAAAAAGAATGATGCTAGTAAGACTAACCCAACCGCTCAAAAATAAGAGTTGTCGCGGTATTCTGTTTTCTGACCAAATTAAGAGGCTTTCTCTCTGTTATGTCCGGTAAGACTTGTCTTGGTCCGATTCCTTGTACCACGGTGATAGTCCAAGGTAGAACCAATAAAGAAGAACTCGAATACGGATATGGAATAACACAGATATATTACAAACAGGAATATATACAGAGAAGTAGAAGTGTTAGTAAGAACAATCAGGTTTAGTAGAGAGAACAATGTAGTCTCGACCAGTATCACTATTCCAATGTCTTGTAGTAATTGACTGAAAAATTATAATAAAAATTGTTCTAACAAGTATAGCCCACACTTTACGAGGGGCTTTATCTATGTAATATTTTTTTTGTCAGTGGAAAGTGTCATGATGCCATTTCTAACCTTAGGTCCCTGGGCGGGACCCGGAAAGAAATGTGTAAACGCCAGAAATCAGAGAAAATAAAAATAATAATAGTTATAATGTATCATTTAAGCGCGACCAACCTCAAAGATCCAATCGATGGAACAAACGGATGATGATTACAACAGATGTCAACAGTTGAACCAGCAGATAAAGGAGGATACGTATGACGGACATGTTACAGTAGGAGCTGCTCAAAATTATAACAGAATCAATGGTAGTCTGTTGCAGTTTCATAACTGGGTTCTGCATGTCTCATTCCATATGTGCTGAAAGGAGGAAGATCCTAGAATCGTGTGGGTCACTTCTTGACAAGTTGAGGTCCACATTAAACAAATTCATGCCATCAGCACTTTCTTCTACTCTGATTTTCGTTCACCTTCAACCAAATCTTGCAAATGGCGATAAGGTATGGATGATAGGAGCATGACACTAGAAGATTCTAGTCCTGAAAATGTAAGTTGGCAGAGAATTTAGACATCAACACCGGTATTATAGCGGGAGACGAAGAAGAAATTCCATTCGTGGCTACAAGATAAGGCCACCGACAAAGACGACGTATACGATCCTGAGATGTATCTTTGAAGCTGTCAAAATACAAGAATCTTGAAGTGGAAATGTCAAAAATGTGGTACGTAAGGACATCAATATTTCTAGTTGCTGTTAGAGTCTTAGAATTGATTAGAAAAGGTCCCAATAGACTCACTGAAAAGATTCCTGGTAGTCGATGTTTAAACAAATACAAACAATCGTGTAAAATGTGTGTGGCCTTAGGTTACGATTCTAATTTTTTTTTTCTTACAAAAATACTCTCTGAAAATGTCGTGATATCATTAGGTCTCGCGTTCGGACGAGGAATGAAATGTGCTTACAATAGAAATCAAAGGAAATAATAACAATAGTAATATTAGTAGAGGTAATAATATTAATATTATTAATAATAATAATAATAATAATCGCAATTATAAGGCTATCGGGAAGAAAGACTGAGACTATCAATAATACTCGGAGCTCTGAGCCACGTGAGAAAAGGAATGGACAATTTTACTAACAGTGTCCCAGGTCATATCAACATAAACATTTCGCAGATGATCCCCTTACTAGAGTCAACCCATATCCTAAGAAAATTGCTCTGAGCCTCGTGAGAAAAAGAATGAATAATTTTACTAACAGTGTCCCTTGTAACATACACGTACATGTTTCCCAGATGATCCCCTTACTAGAGTCATCCCATATACTAAGAATAGTATTCTGAGCCTCGTGAGAAAGGGGATGGGCAATTTTATTGTGTCCCAGGTCACATCAACATTAAAGTTTCCCAGACGATCTCCCTACTAGGAATATCCCATATACTAAGAAAAGTGCTCTGAGCATCGTGAGAATATGAACGGACACTTTTACTAATAGTATCCCAGGTCGTATCAACATACTAGTTTCCCAGATGATCCCCTTACTAGGGACATCCCTTATACTAAGAAAAATGCTCTTAGAAGAACGCGATTTAAAAAAAGAAAAATCACAACAACATTTCGAGAGAGTGTCCGTCTTCAATTTCTTATATCTAAAAAAAATTCAACTAATTTTACTAAAAGTGTCCTATGTAATATCCACATACAAGTTTCTCAGATGATCGTCCCACGAGGAACATCACATAGACTAAGTAAAGTGCTATCAATTAAATAACAATTCTCGTATAGGGTCTAAGAACCATAGTTTGGACCCGGCGCTTCAAGATAGAAAGCTCGAAACCTAACATACACAAATACTACTACTACTACTACTACTACTACTGATAATGATGATGTTCCGATAGAAGATCCATTGAAGAGCAATCTTTCACGTTTATAAAACTATCATTCGTTAATGCATTGAGTATTGCTGCCATATCTAGTCGGGTGCTTCTGCTATATATCTTCCTGAAACCTGTTCTTTTATTGTCTTTTCTCCTCACTAAAGTCTTCTCATTCTCTTTCACTCTCGGTAACCCCTTGCGTCTTAGTGGCATTATCGCCATCTTCTGTCTTCCTGAAATCTGTTCTTTTATTGTCCTTTCTCCTCACTAAAGTCTTCTCATTCTCTTTCACTCTCTGGAACCCCATGCGTCTTAATGTCATTATCGACATCTTCTGCCTTCTTGAAACCTGTTTTTTTATTGTTCTTTCTCCTCACTAAAGTCTTTTCATTTCTTTTCACTTATAGTAAAACCAATGCGTCTTAGTGGCATTATCGCCATCATCTGTCATCCTGAAACATGTTCTTTTATTATCCTTTCTCCTCACTAAAGTCTTCTCATTCTCTTTTTCTCCCAGTACCCCTTGTGACTTAGTGGAATTATCAGCCATCTTCTGTCTTCCTGAAACATGTTCTTTTATTGTCCTTTCTCCTCACTTAAAGTCTTCTCATTCTCTTTCACTCCCAGTAACCCCTTGTGACTTAGTGGAATTACAGCCATCTTCTGTCTTCCTGAAATCTGTTCTTTTATTGTCCTTTCTCCTTACTAAAGTCTTTTCATTCTCTTTTCTCTCCGATTAACCGCTTGTGTCTTAGTGGCATTATCACCATCTTCTGTCTTCCTGAAACATCTTTTATTGTCCTTTCTCCTCACTAAAGTCTTCTCATTCTCTTTCCCTCCCAGTAACCCCTTGCGTCTTAGTGGCATTATCGCCATCTTCTGTCTTCCTGAAATCTGTTCTTTTATTGTCCTTTCTCCTCACTAAAGTCTTCTCATTCTCTTTCACTCTCTGGAACCCCATGCGTCTTAGTGTCATTATCGACATCTTCTGCCTTCTTGAAACCTGTTTTTTTATTGTTCTTTCTCCTCACTAAAGTCTTCTCATTCTCTTTCACTTATAGTAAACCAATGCGTCTTAGTGGCATTATCGCCATCATCTGTCATCCTGAAACATGTTCTTTTATTATCCTTTCTCCTCACTAAAGTCTTCTCATTCTCTTTCTCTCCCAGTAACCCCTTGTGACTTAGTGGAATTACAGCCATCTTCTGTCTTCCTGAAACATGTTCTTTTATTATCCTTTCTCCTCACTAAAGTCTTCTCATTCTCTTTCTCTCCCAGTAACCCCTTGTGACTTAGTGGAATTACAGCCATCTTCTGTCTTCCTGAAATCTGTTCTTTTATTGTCCTTTCTCCTTACTAAAGTCTTTTCATTCTCTTTCACTCCGATTAACCGCTTGTGTCTTAGTGGCATTATCACCATCTTCTGTCTTCCTGAAACATCTTTTATTGTCCTTTCTCCTAAATAAAGTCTTCTCATTCTCTTTCACCCCCAGTAACCCCTTGCGTCTTAGTGGCATTATCGCCATCTTCTGTCTTCCTGAATCTTGTTATTTTATTCTCCATTCTTCTAAATAAAGTCTTCTCATTCCCTTTCACTCCTAATAACCCCTTGCGTCTTAGTGGCATTATCACCTTGGACAGTGTGAAAGGATTCGAACATGTATTCTTTGTTTTGTTCTCAAATGTTTAAATTTCAATTATCTGTTTGCTTCATGAAAGCAGCACCGATTAAAAACAGAATGAAATGGAGAGAAACCAATATTTTCATCGAATTGAATTTAAACATTAAACGCTCATTTGTTAATTAATTAAAATGTCGATTTATTACCCCAAATGGAAATTTGAGGACAATGAAATAAACAAGAAACTGAAGATGGCGTGATGTCCATTTGCTGAGATGAATTGGCTGCCAGATGAGAGGCGTTCACAATAATTTGCGGTGCCTCGGCCAAAAATGGTTATTTTGTTCTCAGCAAGATATTCGAGCTTCCCATGCGTCATTTTATTTTCTCCAGCTAACGGGATTTGTGGTCTGCAAAATCTTTCAACAGACATTAACGTCATGATAATGCCACGTTCGATATCTCTTAGGAATTCGGTTTTTTTTTCTTCGGCTTAAATTTGATGAACTGAAAATTTGGTTTTAAAATAGTAAAATCTTGAGATTACATTTGAAAAGCATTGTTGTCAGACAATATTTGCGAACAACATTATTATAAAAACACAAAACCCCCCTGATTATTATGTGTGGGGTGCAATTAATTAAACAAACCAACAAAACACCAAAGATGAAATGAAAGCTAGGATTATAGCAGCATTCACCAACTTAAAGAAGAGAGTTGCAGGAGATTCCGAAGTTTTCTGGAGGGCGTGATTCGATTTTGTTTAATAAATTGACTCTTTAGTATTTGCAGATATCTTCATGTAATTATGATAAATATTTCCGTTAAAATGAAATGTCTTAAATGAAATTAAAATAATTATTTTAATTTTTGCGTCATACTGAACAGCCAATTTGAACAATCAAAAATATATATATATATATATATATATATATATATATATATATATATATATATATATATATTCATGCATCGTTTTAATTAAATAATATAGACAAGTGTTGTCTATTTATTTTTTAAATAAAAATTTTTCGTAAAGTCTTATAAGTTTAATAACATTATCGTTGAACGATAGTAATGTGGGCTGCTGGATCATGTAATTTAAATTGTCTGTATTTAGGCAGCCCACAATACTATCAATACTTGGAATTACAAATGTAGCCTTGTGAAAAGGCAAATTGAAATAGCAAAAGAAAAATTGAACAACCTTAACAGCAACAAACAGGACATTTACGATAAACTATGTGCGTTTCATCTTTGATAATGGCTTATATAAGCCGAAAGCTTAGATTGTATTAAAAAAATATGGATCAATATTGTGAATTTCTTTTTTCGTTCAACGATAATGTTATTAAACTTATCAGACGTTACGAAAATTTTTTTTACATAAAATAAATAGACAACACTTGTCTATATTATTTAATGAAACGTGTATAAATGAAAATATGCTGCCTAAATACACACATATATATATATATATATATATATATATATATATATATATATATATATATATACAATTATTTAAGCAAAATATATAAATCGTGTAATACCATAATTGACCCTCACACAAAATGTTTAACATTTAAAAAACCCAGTAAATTAATTCAATTATTTTACAGAGTTTTAGATAAGGCGTTTAGCCATCTTGACACCATTTGTCATAAGAATCCCCGAAAAACATTTTGAGTTATACAGCTAGAAAAAGACAGGTTAAAATCGTTTTGTGTCAGATCCCACTATCTTCCCAAATGAGCAATGGTGTGAGGAAAAAGGATCATTTAGAGATTCAGTAATGATACTATCATTCATACCCTGGCTTCCATCTTCAAAGTCCATTGAAGAACCATCAAGAGAATGGTGAAGACGTTCAAAAAAGAGGGAACAGTAGAGAGGAAAACTGGATCAGGAGCTCACAACAGGAGGAAGGATAATCATTTCAGCTTAGAGTTAAAGAGATCAATTAGAAAAGATCCAACTCAATTCGTAAGACGTTTGGCACGTGAGAAAGGCGTTTCAGCTATGACAGTCCAAAGAACAGCGAAAAGAAAAATTGAAAATGAAATCGTACGTGAAAGGACAGAAAGTTAGAAGGTTAGAGAGGGCGAAGATCATCTTGAATAATGTGGAAAATGACCCTGGAAAAATATATATATATATATATATATATATATATTTTGAACAATAAGAAAATAAAAAATTAAAAAATTAAAATCATTAGACACACTGGGTTGTAGATTAATATTCTTTCGTTTTTTTTATTATTATTATTCCATTTAGATGATCCAAGGAAAAAAGAAACTCTCTGGTGAAATAAATTATAACAATGGAACCTTGGAAATTTTTATCAAAAAAAATATATATAAATATAATATATATATATATATATATATATATATAAATTCTTGATAAAATATTAAGGAAGATTTGATGTTATCACAGCTTCACTTACTTTTCCACATAGAATCTCTGTGCATTTTCACGGTATTAGTTCTGATGATCGTTTCTCTTTTTTAATCGATTTTAGTTGAAATTGCTAGATGTAGCCGCAAGTTCTATGCTAACAGTTTCTTCTCTCCGACTAATCACTTATGGAAATTCTCCCAGCTTTTAGCTTTCAACTCAACTTTGATCTTCAAGAATTTAAATGCAATGTCAATCGTTATCTTCTGTCTTCTTAATTCCTCTTCTTTATTGATCTCTTTCCTTAATAATGTTTTTTTCTCATATTCTTTCACACTCAGAAACCCCCTTTTGTCTTAGTAGCTTTATTGCCTTGCTTGGGGAGAAACGATTAAACTTTAAATGCAATGTCAATCATTATCGTCTGTCTTCTTAATTCCTCCTCTTCTTTTATTGTTCACTCTCCTTAATAATGTTTTTTCTTTTTCTCATATTCTTCCACACTTAGTAACTCTCTTGCGTCTTAGTGGTTTTATTGCCTTGCTTGGAAATAAAAGCTTATAATTTAAATGCAATGTCAATCGTTATCTTCTGTCTTCTAAATTCCCCTTCGTTTATTGTCCTCTCTCCTTAAAAATGTTCTTTTTTCTCATATTCTTTCACATGTCAATAATGGACTCTGAATGCAAAAAAAAGTGGCTTTATTGCCAGGTTAAATTATAGTGATTTAATATATAGTTTTAATATATAGTTTTAAGGTGTGATATATTTATGGGATAAAGTACGTTAATATTAATATAATAAGAAGATAATATATATATATATATATATATATATATTCAATATATATATATATATATATATACATCGGCGGTTGTCTCAGTGTCGCTTTCCGACAATGAGAGCCATGTACGAATATCACTATGGTAGATCCTATTGATCACGAACGTGACTTCTTGAAGCTATCGGTTTGGGGAGACCCATCCTAGCGGGTCAGGTAAGGGACTTTTTGATGTTAACCTTGATGAAACCTGAAAAAGATACAACTTGTGGTCTCAAGTCCAGTGAGCGAAATTGGATAGTTTGGAAGTCGATATAGGAAATCAAGAGTCATTTATGTGCACTGGTTCATGATAGATAATGCGGTCTCTTCCAGAAAGTGTAACTAAGATCCACCCAACTGCGTTGCACAAAAAATCCCCAGCTAAGCTCAGTGTATGTTGAACAAACACAAATATATCCGAGGAACCAGAAAACCTATGACTTGAGTCCTTGCCTACATATTAAGAAATTCCTCTTAAGTACATATGAGGCAGCATATAAAAAAAAACGTATATTTCATTTAACTCTCCTCACCGTTACTTTTCTTCTCTTCCCCCTTCTTTCTCTTCTCCTTTCTTCACACACGTCTCTTTCCTTTCCATTACACCCAACGTCCTTTGTTTATTTATTATTTTTTTTCAAAATAATATAGCGTTCATTATTTTTTATGTTTTTAAATAAAGCGTTAAGAGGTCATTTGAAAAAAAATCGCCTCAAAATACCGTAAGGTTGAAACCACAGTAGCGGATCCAGCTAAACTCTTGATTTTGAATATATATATATATATATATATATATATATATATATATATATATATATATAAAGTATATGATTGGTGTATACAGAATAAATTCCAATAACCAACAATTACTATTCTTAAAAAGAGTGCTCAATACAGAGTAGAGCGAATATAATTATTTATTTTAAAAATTATTTATAAAAATTATTTAAAAAAATATTAAACATAATTTATGTTTTAAAATCACTTTGAAAAATAGCCATTTTGTTTCAACTGAATCAATATTTTACATTAACACCGGAGTTTTTCAAACAAATTTTTGTAGTGATTTTATAACATATTTATGTTATAATTTTTAAATAAATAATTTTATATATATATAAATTATCTGGTGATAATTTGAATATTCATAATTAAGCAATTCATCGAGTCTAGAAGATTCCTCAACAGAATGCAGAAAGCACTGGACGGCCGTTTCGTCCTATTTAGGATTCATCAGCAAATACGCTGATCCACTACCGGAATCGAATCCGGAGTTTAACGATAGGTCCGCAAAGTCATACCCACTAGACAAGCGGGCCACAGTGACGAAAAAGGTAGAAAACTTGATTTAATATAGCCAATAAATCGTCACAAATTATCTCATGTGACTCATCCAAGGTCATTTTATACCAATGGAATAATTCATATATATATATATATATATATATATATATATATATATATATATATATATATATATATATATATATATATATAATAAAATTTTAAACACTAATATTCCATGCATATATATCTATATATTTTGCATATGTATGTGTATATTTACCACTAATATTATCTAAATATCTATATATCTATCTATCTATAATTTTATCTCTCTCTCATAAATCTCTCTCTCTCTATATATATATATATATATATATATATATATATATATATATATATATATATAAAAAAATAAACCTAGATACAAGGTGATAAAATTTAAAAAATAATTAAGAAACCGAAAACAAGTAATTTTCTTTTTTAAATTTACTGAGTTTTAATTTTGTAATCGTTTTTTTTTTAATTTATTGTTTTTTAAACATTTATACATATAGATTCATAATTATGAATTTGTATTGTGTTTAAAACTCAGTAAATTTAAAAAAAAGTTATACCAATAATATTTGAAGATGAAACGGAATTAATGCTTTTAGTTTAATCATATAATTAAATAAATTTAAAGTTTTTAGCTATTTTCATTTTGAAACATGGTTATTACTGTGATAAAAAAAAATATATTTTCAGTCAGTTAATTTTATAATATTTATGCTCTGTAAATTTACATTGAGCACTATTTTGTAAAAAAATAAAAAAAAAATAACAAGAACACCGGATTATATATCTTACTGTTCTTTATATATATATATATATATATATATATATATATATTATTAATTCAATTTAAATAGAAAACAGATAACCTTACGGGGCCATTGGTTATAATTTATTTCTCCAGGATGATTTTTACCTGGTTCCACAGATTGCACTTTCAAGGGTGAAAAATGTTTTAAATTTACATATAGTTTTTATCCACTTTTGAGGGGTAGTTTAAGTTGATGTAAGGTGATATAGAGAGGGGGGAGGAGGAGGAATATAACAAAGATTGTTAAAAATAGAGATTGAAGGGAGAGATAGGAATAATTATAAATTCATTTTTATTAAGATATTTCATATATATTCTCGAAACATTCAGGTCTGATCAGTTTTGTATCCAAACGTCAAAAAGGCAATTTCTACAAAAATCAGGGATTTTATTATTTATTAATCTGACAGATGTTTAATAATTTTAAACATCAGATTCAGTGGATATTACATTTGAATAACGGTCCGTTTATTTATTAAATAGTATCTATCTATCTATCTATCTATCTATCTATCTATCTATCTATCTATCTATCTATCTGATTCTCTTCATTATCTATTTATCTATCTATTTATCTTATGCTCATTAACTATCACAGTCTCTTCATATCTATTTATCTATACACATACACAAACGCAGTTGTTTATATTATTGAAGTAATGTCTTCCATGTCACAGTCTCTTCATATTTATCTATCACAGTCTCTTCATATCTATCTATCTATCTATCTATCTATCTATCTATCTATCTATCTATCTATCTATCTATCTCTCATATATCTAGATCTATCTATCTATCTATCTATCTATCTATCTATCTATCTATCTATCTATCCACACACACACACAAACGCAGTTACGCGTTATTTAGAATCTATAGCATTATTGAAGTAGTGTCTTCCATATCGGAGCAGGACATTTCTAGATATAAATATTGTATTTGATGTATATGTATAATTTTTAGTTTTAATTTTATAATAAAATTTAAAATTAATCAATTAGAATGATGTCTATTTTAGTCTAACCCTAAAGTTAAAGGATTAATTCTTATAACCAAGGTTCGATGTCAAGTTTTTTGAATTCTCATATACTTGTATTTTGATTGGTCATTGCAGCTTATGTAACAGCGTCTCCCCTATCGAAAGGGTGTTTAATTGATTTGAACCTTTTAAAACCCTTTATTATACATTCAACACCATCACTTGATAAGACACCAGAGGTGTTGAAACAAAATGGCTATTTTTGTAGAGATTTTATAAAATATTTATGTTATAATTTTCAAATAAATAATATTTGCTCTATTCTGTATTGAGTACTCCTTTAAGAATAATATTTGTTGGTTATTAGAATTTTATTTATTTACACTTACTTATATAATCTCTCTCTCTCTCTCTCTCTCTATATATATATATATATATATATATATATATATATATATATATATATATATATATATATATATATATATTATATTTTCATTACTGCAAATTATATTTTAAATTAACGATATTTTAATGTTAAAGACATTAAGTTATTCTACCATTAAAAAGTTATTTGTTATTGTCATTGCTATTGGCATTGCCATCTTTGCTATTATTGTGTTATTGATCTGCATATTATGTAAATGGTATTTACTGCTATAATTGCATTGTTATTGATCGGGTTTAAATTTTTTTTCTTTTTTGCACAAATCTTGATTGGTTTGAGTTTTGCTTTCTGTCTCGGTGTTTTTTCTTCTATGTCTTTCTTTTTACGGCGTCTTTGAATTACAAAATTGTCTCCTTCTCGTAGCAGTCATTTAAATAAATTTCTGACACTTACAAGACAGATGATAGGAAGAAGAATTGAAGCAGAATGAAATAATAATAATAATTATAATAATAATAATAATTGTAATATTAATGATGATAATAATAACATATAATTTGTATATATGTATATATAAGTGTACTTGTATATATATATGTATAATTATTATTAATAAAAAAAATTATAACATAAATGTGTTATAAAATCACTACAAAAATAGCCATTTTGTTTCAACACCCTCGGTGTCTTATCAAGTGATGATGTTAAAGATAAAATAAATGGTTTTAAAAGTTTCAAATTAATTAACGATCCTTCGCTAGGGGAAAACATTGTTACAAAAGCTAGAATTACCAATCAAAATCCAAGTATAGGAAGATTCAAAAGCTTGACAACGAAATCATGTTATAATAGCTATTCAGATCTTTAAAATACGGGTAATATTTAAAAGAATTTTTATATATATATAAATGTGTGCATTTAGGCAGCATTTCTTCATTGATGCATGTTTCATTAAATAATATAGACAAGTGTTGTCAATTTATTTTACGTAAATTCTTTTCTGAATAAAGTTTATCATTCAATGGGAAAAAAAAACAAATATTAATACATATTTTTATCCTATCTAAGCTTTCGTAATTGTCATCTTTGATAATAGCTATGTAAGCCGAAAATATTAGATGATTAAAAAAAATTTATCAATATTTATTTGATTTACTTTTTTGAATGATAATTTTCCCATAAAAAAAACGTTATGAAAAGAATTTAAATAAAATAAATTATTTTTTGTCTATATTATTTTAATTTTCAAGGTAAAATATATATATATATATATATATATATATATATATATATATATATATATATATATTTGATAGTTGTATATTTTTCAGCAATTCTTTTTTTATATATATTTCATTAAAACGACAGACAAAGTACTACGGTTGAGCTTTTAATTTAATTTTTATTGTGTTCTATAAATTTTTTTTCTTTTCTGGACAAAGGGTACAAAGAACTGAATCGAATGTGGTATGATGCTCATCCCTACCACACACTGATACATACACAGAACGCACACACTCAACTAAGCTGATAATCGAATCATCCTTGATAATGGCTAAATATAGAAAAGCGCTATAAAATATAAAACATTTGGACAGTTTTACACACCCGTTCCGGAAAAAAGAAATATCTTGTCAGAACACAAAAAAAATTAAATAAAATATTTCAATCGTATTATTTGTCTGTCGTTTTTAATGAAATATATATATATATATATATATATATATATATATATATATATAGATAGATAGATAGATAAATAACTAGACTCGTTTGAAAAAAAACCCTCGAATTTTTGATTTGCTAATAATCAAATCAATTTCGAGGGAAAAAGGTTTTAAAAAAGAAAGAACTACAAACATGAACTTCTGCCGACAAAAAAAATCGCACAGATGCAGGTCTGAAGCCCAAAGAAAAAAAACCCGATACGAGTAAACAACTAACTAACAAAAAGAGCTCAATACAACCGTAGAGCAGACCTAGATACACCTAGTGATCCAGACAAACCTACCTAGGTTTCACCTAAACGGATCGTCAGGGAAAGTAATATATATATATATATATATATATATATATATATATATATATTGTCACATGGTAATTGTCAGTTTTGGTTTTATCTCTAAATTCTGTTCCTAAATTCCCTTTTCAGCTGGCATCACCCTGACGATCCGTTTATATTATCTTATATATATATATATATATATATATATATATATATATATATATATATATATATATAAAGAAATATAGTCTTAAGGTGTGCTATATTTATGGGATAAAGTGCTCAATATCAGAGATAGAGCGTGTTTCAATAGTAAACAATGATTTCAACACTCAGAGGCGACAGGCTGTTTCATGCTAGGCCTGACGATTGCGTCTAGCATGAAACACCCTGTCGCCTCTAAGTGTTGACTTCAATGTTCACTTTATATATATATATATATATATATATATATATATATATATATATATATTGATTAGAAAGCCATAAATTAGATTTTAGATTAATAATATTTTAATTTTAGTGACATAGTACTAAGTTATATTTTTTTATATACGGTGGAGTGGTAGATAGCGGCTTGAATTGAGGATTTACCCGGCTATGGGTAAATAGCAGGACACACCGGGTTCGCCAAAAATTAGAAAAACACAATTTTTTTTGCACGAAATCAATTTGAAAACACGATTAACAGGCATCACGAGAATGAAAGGGGGACAACTCATATCGAGTTATACTTATTATAAAACCCAGGTTGTTTGTTTGTTTGTGTGTGTGTGTGTGTGTGTGTGTGTTCGTTTATATATGGGATCGGATTTCCTACATTTTTCAATCCATTTCAACAAAACTTCACTTTTTTTTTTTTTGGCAGATAGTGTTTCTTATTGTCTTGCATACTTTTATTCTTTATTTTTACATTCAGAATGCTTTAAAAATTCCATTTACAAAACAATTGTTTATAATAAAATTCTATTCAATAGGTAGACTCATAACGATTGAAAACAATGTTTTTGTTTGAGTTTTGGGTTTGGCCAATTCGTAAAAAAAAAAAAAAAAAAAAAAAATCTAATTAAGACATGCGTGTCCGTCAACCTTAAACAATAATCTTTGTCAATTTTATTTTTCAGTCTTTATGATGGTCGATACTTGATCTATCTCTTACTGTTGCACCCCCGGGCAACGCCGGGCTCTACTGCTAGTATCTAATAAGTAATCTGGAACTATTAGTTTTATTCATTTTTGCCGCAAATCTTTTTTTTGTACCTGATTGAGGCAGAGTACTGGACAGCTACATGACTCTTATTACTGATAATAGGAAGAAAGAAAGAAAAACAAAGAGGAATGCAATAGTAGTAGTGATGATGATGTTCGTAGTGGTGATGATGGTGTTCGTAGTGGTGATGATGATGGTGTTCGTAGTAGTGATGTGATGATAGTGACTTATCAGTTATTATTGAATAGTCTTTTGCTATTTATTTGTTTATTATTAATTTATTTCCAATTTTTATTTTAGAAACCATACAATACAAACACAAACTTTAAAAAAAATATTATCAGTAATTATATTTATGGGTAAAGTATATTCGTGTAATAACAGGATTAGTGAAGAGATTTAAATATAGTTTCATGTTATTGAACTGTTATATTCCGTGCTAATAGGAATATATACTTGAAAAACAAGGTGGATAAAGTAAGTAAAGGTTTATTGTAAAAACCAATACAATAAGAATAAAGGTAACAGTTATTCACAAGGTCCTCACAAGTAAATCCAGTAGTGAGTGCTACTATTGGAAGGTCGGTAGTTCCAGAGTAACTCTGAGTCGTACTCAACAGATCCAAGCTAGTAATATTTACCAACCACCCCACGGGGTAGGATGTGGAACAAGGCCGAATTTGATGTAGGGCTCGGCCAAAAAATTCTCCGTAGATCCCGTATAAAACGAGGTCAGGTACCTGTTTCCCAAGACGAGTCTCTTCCCTTCGACATAGCCTCTTCTAGGGATCCCATCTGTCCGGAGGCAGAGAGTACGACCAGCTCAGCTGAAAAAGATTCCAGCTAGACGGTATCTAGCAACTGCCCCACTTACAGATACTTATATGTAGTTACTACCTATTGTGTTTGTCACTCATGGGGGTGACAGGTTATTCCATTACATCGTGAACAAAGCAGAGAAAAGGAGACAAAAATAAAAAAATCCGTTGAAAATCGGAGTCTCGTTTGGGATCCAAACGCTTATAAATGAAGATTTTACCGTTTTTGTTAATAATAGCAATAGGGAAAATAAAAAAATAAAAGAAAATAAACATGAGGAGTCCTGACCCCCTGAACGTCATGGTCCACCATGGTATGGATGGATATAATCTGGTGCCCACGAACTAACTGGCACGTATGGGTAAATACGAACTAAGTCTAATGCTGGCACAACGAAAAATATTGCTAAACCACATCCGTCGTCACTTGGATTAACAGGGACCACGATCCCCAATGAGGA